TGAGAGCAGTGTCTTCTCTAAAGACTTTCAAGGACAAAAAGAAAATCAAAAAACCCTGTGTAGTATTGCTGTGGGTTGTGTCTGTTCTGGGAGTGACTAGTAGGGACCCCTAATCTTACCTAATCTTCCTCTTTTTATTCCAGGTGAAGAAAGGGTACCAAAAGTCACAAAGCAAAGTGTGTGAGATAATGAAAGGTGTAAGTGTGTGCATATATATCAAAAACACACCATATTTAATGAAAGAAATTAATATTCACACATTTGTACTTCTGTACAATTTTGAGTAATATATAATTTTAAGCTGTTTACAAATAGCATGTAATGCTTTCAAATATTACATAATGTTGATAATACATTTCTAGCAGAAATAAATATATTGCACTTAAAAAGAACTTCATTAGATGTTACTTCATAGTATTAGGCTTATAACTTCTTTTTTCATAAAACATTTCCCATGCCCTTCCCCCACCCCCAACACACACACTTCATTACAGTGACTGTTCTCACGCAATTCATTAAGCAAATAAACACAGCAAACAATAAAACTATGATAGAGTCTACTAAAGAGGCTAGATCAAATTTTATCCTTTAGGAAATGAAAGATTTTCTTTTAGGTTTCTTAAACTAAGAAAAGCAACAACTAAATATAGTATTTTAAAGTACCAGAAGTAAAATACAAGTTGTATTTTTTGTCCAGATGTACTATTTACCAAAATGTTTTTATTTTCTTATTATGGGGAGGGGGGATTAGAATTATCTAAGGGAGAAACAGAGAAATAAAGACCAAAAAATACTTAATGGTCTATCAAATATTAATAAATGAACATATTTAAGCATGATGAAGAAAGCTAAGTACTGGAATATTTTATAACTGACATGGGATAGTAGTGACAAAAGGATCTTATGATTTCCTAAAATTTTAAATGTTTTAACCTTCCCTTTGCTTGTTTATATAAAAATCCTTATTCCAAAATAATTTAAAAATTTATAAAAATGCATCCTCCACCCAAGCCCAGCTCTCTAAGGGAAGTAGCTGAAACTCTTTTCTGTCCAGTGCTTTATTTCTGTCCAGTCTAGATGTAGAGTATGATATTGTTTTGTTTGTAGTAATTATCAATTCCATACACATTTAATAGTGAAAAGTTTTCCTTAGTCAATGCAAAATTGAGTAAAAATGTTTTTCTTGTCATATTTGATTCTGCACATTATACAACTGACATTTTGAACTTTAGTTACTAAGTCATGGTTTGAGTTTGACCATGTTTTCAATGGGGTGGTCAAGTCAATGTTTATTTTATTTGAAGTTCATTTTTCTCAATATTATTCAGCTTAAATATAAGCAGGACAGCCTGAAAAGCTAATGTGAAATTCAGAACTGGGATAAATATCCTAATATCTCTGTGAAAAATTTTTAGTCTGTATGAATAGGCAGATGCTTTGCTGCTAAGGATACTTATTCTTGGGCTTTTGAGGTTTCCATTTTACCCCCCAGGATGGGCACTGTGACTTGAGAAGTGCAATGACAAAGATACGGATAATAGTGGAGGGAGATGGTTTTGGAATATCTCACAAGTCAGTGTGACTCCTGCACAGGGTATTTACTAGATGATACATCATCATCAGGAAACTTAACATCTCCTACTCTGTGCCCACCTACTAGAAATGATGGTTGACCTTTCAGACAATATACCATCCCTATAAATCTGCAGTGTAATACAAGTTCATTAATGTAGACCTTGTTACATAATAATTTGCAATATGTTAGACACAAGCTGGATAGGCTTACCTTTATACTGCCAAGGGTGGGCAAGGGGCGGGGGGTAGATTTACTAAGTAAAAGAAATAAAGAGCTTACTCAGAATTATTGATAAATGTTTTAAAAACATATTACATATGTAGAATCTACTAAGTTATGAATTAATTCTTTTGGGTTAGATAAAGCCATTCAGGCAGAGCTGCTCTTTAGCAGCGCTACACATTACCCAAGCTTTTTGATACTGTAATATAGCTGGGGGAACCCTGAATTTATTCCAAATACACCGTAAATCATGCTCTTTATCATTCAATTGCCTTTCTCACTAATTATCTAGTTCTTGCAATTGCTTTTGATAAAACAGACTTTATAGAGTTTTAAATGTTAAATACCCAAAGAGTTAAATAATAAACAAATAGAATAGCTCAGAAGGACCCTTGTGGGGCAAACATCTATCTCTAGTTCCCATGACTAGTGACTGATCAGGTTAAGCTCCATTTCACTTGTGCTTTTACTTTCTTGTTCAAATAATGCTAAGTACTTTTTAAAAAAGTATCTGATTTAGAATTTCAGGTGTGATTTTCCAAGAGCATGCTTTGGTGTCTTTGTCTCTGCTTTTTTCTAAGTATGCTACTTATTTTTAGTCTTATATTGATTAATTACAAAATAAAGTATGAATTCAGGACTTACTGTCATAAAACAATATTTAACAAAAATATACAAATCTACTTTGAGACACACCAATTGGGAAAAAATGTCAAAATAGTATTAAAATGATCCTTTCATTCTCCTTGAAAAGAAAATTCAGATATGGGTTCACTTTAGTAGACCAGTCATTTATTAGAGTATTAAGTAGCATCATATAAAATAGTATTTACTTTTGTTATTCCTGCTTTAAGTAGTAGTACTCTATATTAAAAGCACTGACAAACAGGCCAACTATTAAATAGTAAATCCTTATCCTAAGCTCTGTGGATATTTACTTTAAACATTATGCATAACTAACTTTTTAAAGAAATGCACATCTGAGCTATGTTTGAAAGCAAACTACCTGTGGATACTAGGGCATAACATGCAAGAAGTTAGAAACAAGCTTACAGTGTCTGCCATAGGGCTTTGAGATGTTTAGTTAATGTAGCTTCATAAATAAACCTTGGGATACAGTGGAGAAAGGCAATTGCAAGGTCCAACAGTAGCATCAGTTAGACAGGCTGTGCCAATTATACCTTGTTTCATAGGCTGGAAATGCCCAAGAAAGGCATTTAATATGGAAAAGCCTAACATTAAAACAACCAAATAAAACCCCACTTGAGTTTGATATGATAAATATATTACATTTTACTTCCAAATACACCTCTACTCTCAGCAGCAAGATTTCCCATCTCTTTGAACAGATTCAGTACTTTCATAGTTACAACAAAGTAGAATGGATATTACAGTAAAAAAAGAGTATTGGGGAGCTTTGTGAAGAAGACAGGTTAAATACTGTATCTAGAGTGCATTATATCTACAGTTGAAGGACTACAAACTTCATTAAACCTCTGTTATTAGGGAAATGAGCTGTTGCAAAATGCCAAATATACTACCCTGATTGTAAATGCCTACATATATATGGCTCCAAAATAATACAAACATAACTATGATATAGTTAAACTATTATAAATATCAAAATAAGGCTTAAGATAGCAAGAGTTGAAAATAAAGTGAATAAATTCTTTAGATTTACTTATAAGCACTTTTAACGTTTCAGTCAGGGTATCATTGTGTTAGCATGCCATTTCATATTATGGACCTAGAAGAATGATTGAGTCACTGAATGTAACACAGTGAGAAAAAAGAACCAATCAGATATGTGAACATATAACTATTCATGACCATGGGTTAAGTGATTAAGTAGTGGCTATATGGGCATTGAGAATGGTCATTCATAAAACTTGTCATTCAGTGGCAGTGGCTGATCAAACCACAAAGCAGATTTACTGAAAATGAGAATTTTATCTGGTGCATTTTAACATCCATAAGGTCTTCCAAGGGGCTTCCCTCGTGGCTCAGTGGAAAAGAATCTGCCTGCAATGCAGGAGATGCGGGTTCGATCCCTGGGTTGGGAAGATGCCCTGGAGAAGGAAATGACAACCCACTCCAGTATTCTTGCCTGGAAAATCCCATGGACAGAGGAGCCTGGCAGGGTACAGGGGTCACAAAAGAGTCGGATACAACTTAGTGACTAAACAACAACAAAGGTCTCTCAAAGCTGAAGTAAAAATGAAGGGGACTTTAGTACTCATGGCAGAAAAATTCCTTTCAGAATAGGGCAACCATCTTTTTATTATAGCTGTTAAGTGAAAGAAGGTCTCACATGTCAAGGTGTAGAGACTTTAGAGTGTCCCTCAGTGAATAAGTAAGCGGTATATTTACAATGCAACCTAGAAAAAGAAAACCTCAGTTTTACAATGTAACATATAGAACCTCTTATTTCACAATTGTATATGGAAAATTTTTCCTACATAAATGGCAAATAATTGCAAGAAACAGAATTAGGAAGAAAGACAAGACTGTGAAAAAGAACTTGTCAGGTACTGGCCCTTCAATATTATAGAAAGAACTTTGTGAAGTCATTACCACCTATTCATCCACAAAATAGGATGCATTAGCATTATTATCTTAGCTCCTTCTCCAGCAAACTAACACAAAGGAAAACTAAACATGCTTGAGCTACAGCACTATAAATATTTCTCTATTGGCTCTCATTTCCACAGACAGAATGGACTTAAGTTAGTCATTATGCATCATGGTCAGTATGTTATACAGTATTGCCTCTTTGAAGATTCTTTTAACCTGTGGAAACTGGAAAGAAAACCTATACATGTTAACTTTATACATTACTGCATTGACACAGCATTTTTAACCACTAGGACTAATGCACCTTAAGATTCATCTGCCTTGTATTATTAAACTTTCTGGGTAAATTGATAATCCTTTTAGTTCCAGGACTTAAGCTGGCTAAGAACTTTACACTGATTCTCTCTCAAACTCAAAAGCTGTCCCCCAGCTACAGATGAAGCCTGGTCCATGGTGCTTTCCCTCAGTGGTAGGTTTTATTGTTGAGTCCAGCTCTCCTCTTTCATAGGTCCCATGTCTCCTGGAGAGCCCCTGCTCCAACATCCCACATCCCACCCACCCATCCCTGTCCTATATTTCCATACCCATCTGCACATTCTGGATCTGGACTCTCCTATACTTAGAAGAGTCATACAAATGGCGTCATCACAGCAGAAGAATGGCGCAGTCCTTGGATAGCAGCATATGGCCCCTGCTGAAAGTAGTGATGATATCGGGGCATGTGGAATGAGGGGAATGTTGGGCCACTCCCCTGCATGGAGCTGGCAATGGCTGATGGGGTCAGAGGCATCCCAAGTCGGCTATATGGTGGCAGAGAGCCCTGTATGGGGTGAGGAATGGGTGTTGCTATGGATGCCGTGCTGGTGCCGAGAGCAGTCAGGGACTGTGGGTGCTGAAATGCAGGAAAACTGGATGAAGACGATACCCAGGAGCTAAGAGACAAATTATCAGATGTTGTAAAGGCTGATCCTGAAAGGAAAAAAAACTCTCATTAGACGAGAAACTCTACTTCAACATGCTAATCAAGAATTACATTATCTGTAAGCGTCAATTTAAAAAAAACATATATATATAGATATAGATCTATAGTTTTAAAGAGAAACAGTTCAATCAGGAGGCATCTCTACCTTTCCACACAAGAGGATATCATTTATACCATATATGGAAGAGAAAATTTGATAAATAGAAAAAGACCTACTCATTAGATTGCGACAGCGCTGTTAGAGTGGCTACAGTGCTAGCACCCTGCCTTAAGATAATGACCTGATTCCCTTTAAAGAAGTTCCAAATAGCTGATCACTGTCGTAACCTCCAGCATCCACATAAGTAAGGCTGGACAGATAAGCCTCAACAAAGCTACCTGGTTGCCAAAGCCATTTTGAAAACCCACAAGAGTGTTTTTCTTTTCTTCTTTAATTTTTTTTTTTTAGCTTCTATAACCCTTTTCTTTTTGAAATAATGAGAATATTTACTATGTTGATTATATTTAAGACAGATACACAAAAATCAAACATTTTAATGTGCCAGCTATACCCAGAAGTTGAAATGTGGCAATAATAAACACTACCAAAAATAAACAATAAATACTTAGAAATGACTCTAAAAAATGCATGATACTTACTCGAAGTTTTTCACACAACTCTACTGAAAGATGGAAGGAAAGGTTTTAATAATTGGAGACACATGCCATATTCTCGGATGAAAAATAAAATGTCTTTTTAAAATTCATTTATTCCCAAATTAATTTATTGGTTTAGTATAAAGCCAATGAATGGCTTCCCTGGTGGCTCAGATGGTAAAGAATCTGTCAGCAAGGCAGGTGACCTGAGTTCAATCCCTGGGTTGGGAAGATCCCCTGGAGAAGGAAATGGCAACCCACTCCGGTATTCTTGCCTGGAGAATTCCATGGACAGAGGAGCCTGGTGGGTTACAGTCCATAGGATCACAAAGAGTCAAACACAACTGTGTGACTAACACCTTAACTTTCAAAGCCAATGAAATGCCAAACATTTTTCCACGTTCAATTCAATTTGCAAAATTATCAGGACAAATAATGTTTAGAATATTAAGATATTTTTAATTGTAACAAGGATAGATTTTCCCTACCAGATATAAAAACACATTATCATGTTTTAAAAACAAAATACTGTGTTTATGAAAATAGCAGAGTACTGAGAAAGATTAGAAGCCACATCAACAGAAAATAACAAATTGTCACAATATAATATATACATGCATATTGTATTATCATATACTTAGTATATAGGAGGGGGGCTTCCAGGTGATGCAGTGATAAAGAATCTGCCTGCCAATGTAGGAGATACAAGAAATGTGGGTTTGATCCCTGGGTTGGGAAATGTCCTGGAGTAGGAAATGGCAACCCACTCCAGTATTCTTGCTTGGAAAATCCCATGGACAGAGGAGCCTGATGGGCTGTATGTAATCCATGGGGTCACAAAGAGTCAGACATGACTGAGGGACTAACAAACATTCAAAGCCTAAGCACACATGCACATCATTACAGACTATGAGGAATGATAGCTTAGTTTCCATAATTGTTTATTAGCTAATTAACAAGTTGCAAGAGTAAGTTTTTCTTATATCACAATATCCAGAAGTTTAAACAAAGGTTGACAGTGAATTTTCCAACTGCATAATTACTAGTAGCTCATTTGGATTTATTTACAAGAGATGTCATATGTTCTGTCTGTTTATGCTATTACTTATCATGGACATAAAAATATGTCCATATAAGACTCTCCCTATACAAACATCCCTGTGCCTAGGCACCCTCTCGTCTCTTTTGTCTGAAGTCCCAGATGCAAAGGGCTCCTCCCTTAACATCTGCAACAGAGAAACTGTTTAATACTCCCGGACTCTCACCACCCAGGACACCACCTCCACACAATACGCCCCACTAGGAGAATCTTCATTTTTCAAATAGTTTCCATTCTAATTATTGATCCTAATAAGATATTCCTGATAGAAGTAAAACATATATATTCCCTGATTCTCAGATTGTAAAACAGATTCAGAAAGACTAAGAAACTACCCCTCAAATCCACTAGTTCTTTGGTAGTAGGTAACAGAGAAATCGGAGAAAGCAATGGCATCCCACTCCAGTACTCTTGCCTGGAAAATCCCATGGACGGAGGAGCCTGGTAGGCTGCAGTCCATAGGTTCATGAAGAGTCGGATACAACTAAGCGACTTTTTCACTTTCATGCATTGGAAAAGGAAATGGCAACCCACTCCAGTATTCTTGCCTGGAGAATCCCAGAGACAGAGGAGCCTAGTGGGAGCACAGAGTCGGACATGACTAAAGCGACGTAGCAGCAGCAGCAACAGAGAAATAACTCCTAAGCCCTGACTCAGAGGCTCAGTGTCCTTTTACTGGAAAACAAGCCACAGGAAAGCTTCAGGCAGCATAATCACTTAAGAGGTAAAGGCAAAATAATGATCAGCCTCAGGCTATCCCTTCCTGAAGAGGCTCCTGAAATACTTTGGGGCCATCTCTCTTCTGAGGACTAGAAGCCTCATTACCTCCCTGTCTTTGTTCTCCATTGGGCACTCTTGCTCTGAGCACTTGCATAGCCTGGAAGCAGTCTTACCTCGATTTTGTGTTGTCTGAACCTCATCCCCCAGCACATCCTCTTCTCCTCCATAGGTACGGATGGGTGAGCGGGCATAGGAATGCTTTTGAATCAGGCTCTCCACACTTTCCCTAGGTTAGAGAATGACACATGGTGAGTAAACCAAAAAGTTAAGTAATCAGAGGAGAGGAGTCTTAAAAATGATTTACTAGTCAGTAAAACCATTTTCATGCGAAGAGTTGACTCATTGGAAAAGACCCTGATCCTGGGAGGGATTGGGGGCAGGAGGAGAAGGGGATGACAGAAGATGAGATGGCTGGATGTCATCACCGATTCGATGGACATGAGCTTGAGTAAACTCCGGGAGTTGGTGATGGACAGGGAGGCCTGGCGTGCTGTGATTCATGGGGTCACAAAGAGTCGGACACGACTGAGCAACTGAACTGAACTGAAAACCATTTTCTCAAAAAACCACCACTTCAGAGGCAGACAACATTCAAAACATACACATTTCATTGTAGACGCCTCAGAAACATGACCTCAAGCATACAAATATGAGAAACTTTGAATCTGTTTCTTATAAATACAAAGAAACAAATAGGACAGGATATGGACAGTCCCCCAAAATTCTACAAAATTAGGGGAAAATGTGAACAAGAAGCTATAAAACATAACCATAGGAATATAGAGTTTAATGATGTTTAAAAAAAAAAAGGAATTTACCACAAGGAGCTGCAGCCCTGTGACTTTATCAGCTAATGAACACAAAACACTCACCTGATATGAACGGCATTAATTGAACATCTGATGAAATACTGGCCCATAGTTCAAAATATCATTAGTCATACAAAGACTCCGTGTTTACTAATAAAACCAGTAAGTGCATAGAGTATATGATAATTGCTGAGTCACTTACTCAAGGTCTTAATTCACTATAATATTAGAGCATGACTGTCCTTCTGGGTAACTTGGGTCATTAAGAAAAAAGTCAATTGAGATGCACAAACTTTAATAAAATGACAGCTATAATATTCAAGCTGGTAAATCTGATTAATCTAATTCAAGCTTTTAATCTAAGCCATGTGTCATACTGTTACTATTTAAAATGAATTTAGAAAAGAGGAAGCTGTGGTACATATACACCATGGAATATTACTCAGCCATTAAAAAGAATTCATTTGAATCAGTTCTAATGAGATGGATGAAACTGGAGCCCCATTATACAGAGTGAAGTAAGCCAGAAAGATAAAGACCATTACAGTATACTAACACATATATATGGAATTTAGAAAGATGGTAACCATAACCCTATATGCAAAACAGAAAAAGAGACTCAGATGTATAGAACAGACTTGTGGACTCTAGGAGAAGGCGAGGGTGGGATGTTTCAAGAGAACAGCATCGAAACATGTATATTATCTAGGGTGAAACAGATCACCAGCCCAGGTTGGGTGCATGAGACAAGTGCTCGGGCCTGGTACACTGGGAAGACCCAGAGGGATCGGGTGGAGAGGGAGGTGGGAGGGGGGACCAGGATGGGGAATACATATAAATCCATGGCTAATTCATTTCAAAGTATGACAAAAACCACTGCAATGATGTAAAGTAATTAGCCTCCAACTAATAAAAATAAATGGAAAAAAAAATAAATAAAGGTAAAGGCCAGTGATAAAAAATAAAGTAAAATGAATTTAGGAAAGAATTAGTTATTTTCACATGAGAAAAGAACTTGCTTCAGATACCCTTGAAGACAGCTTCTCTTTATAAAGTTATAAAGGCTTGGCCATCAGTGGGCTGAAATCATGGATGATGTATTTCTAAAGTGCATTCCACTGACCATCCTAGGCATTTAGGCTGTTCTCTCTTAGCATTTAAGTTCAAAAGCAGAGTGTAGTATCTGCCTCTCTAAAAATATCCTAATATAAAATTATTTAAACCTTTTTCACATACACCCAAGAAGAATTCTTTAAATAATATAATAAATCATGGCTTTGTGAAATATTTTGCTTCTCTATAAGAAGTATATTATATTCATTTTTTCCTTGGAAAATCACTGGTATCATTACTTATTCTCATCTCTAAGAGGGAGAAAAAAAAGGATTTTATTGAAGTGATTTATTTGTGTCAGGCCTGAAAGTGAACTGAAAGCAATGGCAGTTCTTATATAAAGGATGGCATAATTAAATTATTGCCTTTTAAGTGATTGAAAACAGTGGTGCAAATCAGGGCCATCTCTTCGAAGATGTTACAAAGAATAGACAGCCCATGTTGTTTACTTTATGTCTAATCCCTGTTTCCAGTAGGATGAAAAGTGCAAAGAATTTGTTTAGCCTGGAAGACTATTGTGAGGATTTCTAGACTACTGTGCTCTGGAAAATAAGGGATGACTCATTTAATGAGTTAAGTGATTTAGGTATTACAAGCTAGGACAGTGCCTTGTAATGCTCAGTTCTGTTATATCCCAAAGCAAGAGACAGTAGTTACTTTGGATTTTAATAGATAAATAAACTAGGTAACATTATTGAAGGTTGACTTTTCAATATCTAACACTAATTTTTCCAGGAAAAAAGAATACATCATTATCTTAGGTATCTTTAAGAGATCTCTTATTACTAATACGTAAGCATCAATTCCAAGAATAATATACACGTGAAGGACACAATCATAGCCAGAAGGTGGGCAAGATAATAGGATAACTGCAGTTATTATGTTGATTCTGCAAAAATGCTCCAGAAATACTAGAAGTCATCTGAACTATTTGTTCAAACTCCAGATAAGCAAAACCAACATACTCTCATCAGTATTGTGAGTTGACTGCCCTTCCTTTATCTCTGAAACTTCAGTACAAATTTCTTAATGCTCAAAATGCAAAATCTTCCCTTTTCCTTCACACTCTTCTTTGCACCACTGCTGTACCTAATATATTCCTCTTTAAATGCATTTACTAGATGGATGGCAATCATGTGTTTGCATGATCATCTCTACCACTACACTGCTGGCCTCTGACTGAAGGAGAGAACAATGCTTTATGTAGGCAGCGGTTCTCAAACTTTAGTGTTTTATGAACTGTTTATGTCCCCCAGATTCTTGTTGAAATCTTAATCCCCACTGTGATGATTTTAGGATGTGCATTCTTTAGTAGACAATTAGGTCTTAAGGGTGAAGCCCTCATGATGGGATTAGTACCCTTGTAAGAAAAGAAAAGAGTTTGCTTTAGCTTTCTTTTCCTCAGCCATGTGAGGACACAGTGAGATGATAGCTGTCTGTGAACCAGAAAGCAGGTCCTCATGAAAAACTGAAATCTGCCAGCTCATTGATCTTAGACTCCCCAGCTGTGAGAAATGAATGTCTGTTGTTTAAATCACTCACAGTCTATGGCATTTTTGTTATAGTAGCCCAACCAGACTAAGACATTGTTCATCAAAATTACCCAGAGGGCTGGCCAAAACACAGATTTTTGGACCCCACCCTCGAGTTTTTGATTTAGTAAGTCCAAGGTATGACCTGAGAATATGATTTCCAGTGTGTTTTCAGGTAACACTGATGCTGCTGATACGGAGGTCACACTTGGAGAACCACCACCGTAGTGTAGTAGTTACTGGAACCTGCTTAGCTCAAATCCTAGTCCTGCCACTTGTTTTGTGTGCCTTTGGGCAAATCACTTCACTTCTCTGTGCCTCAGTTTTGTTATCTGCAACATGAGGATATTAGGTCTTAGAATTATTATTAATTCTAACGGGAGGGAGGTCTGGGAGGGAGGGGACATGGGTGTGCCTATGGCTGATTCTTATTGATGTATGACAAAATCACAAAATTCTGTAAAGCAATTATCCTTCAATTAAAAAATTTTTAAAAAATCTCACTAGGATTATGTGATACAGGCTTTAGACATTAGTCATCCTTGTTACTCATTTCACTTTTGTTAAGTGGTGCAAGTAATTCATTTTCTATTCACTGGAAACTTCTCACCAATTATCTTTTGTAATTGTTGTGTTGGTTGTAATTGTTGTGTTGGTTGTAACAGAGATGTGAAGGATTTGGTATATTTAATTAAATCAATACTAGACTGAACTCAAAGAATAAACAAAATAATATAACTTAAAAAAAATATTGAATGAGTTAAACACACAGAGTTTATATTGGCATTTGGCATATAATAAGTGCTCAGTAATGTTTATAGGTAACAAAATTAAGTTACTATTAAGTATCAAAATCATATTCCTAAAGCTGGCTACATAATCATAATCATTTTAAATTCAATTGAGACTTCTAGTTGCTATAACATGATATTCTTCATTTAAACCATCCTATAATATATATGGAGTTGCACAGAGTCGGACACGACTGAAGCGACTTAGCAGCAGCAGCAGCAGCATAATATATATGTCACAGAGGAAATTAAGTAAAAATTAAATGTTATTTCAATTTACATTCTAACTTTCTCTCTTTCTAAATATAGACCTAGAAAAAAGCTGCATTCAGGGATAAAATGTCAGAATAATTAAAATCAAATCCAATTTGTAGGAAACAAAATATTTAAAGTTATCCTTGCTTATCAGTTTTCTCCTGTTTATATCATGTCTTACTGAGCCTTTATAAATAACTTCTTGTCACAATATTTTTCTAAAGATTTATGCAGATAATGTTATAAATTACCATTAGATAATATATCAATATTTGTTGCTTCCACAAAGTACTTAATAAATGAAAACTTTAGATAATATAATTGGAGATGTATTATAAATCATTAATTTTAATTTGAGAACAGAAATACACACAATGTATTTTGGAAAAACAAAGTAACTCTAATCTTTTTAAAAGCTCTCTCAGATTTTAGTTTATTTTTATTTATTTGACTTAATCTTACTAATTTTTCTTTTCAATAGTAATCTGCGTTTCTGCTTTTATATCATTATTAACAACTTAAGCAAACTGTACAACTGTGGGGGAAAAAATAGTTCCCTAAGTCTAACCTTTGTGACTAGAACAAAGGTCCCAACCAAAGTACAGATTATGCAACCTCTAAAAATAAACTTTAGTGAATTGTGAGGTAGGGAACAAATATCCTTCTTACAGATAGAAAGACACAAGCAAGAAAAAAAGAATAAATTACAACCATGAATCAACCATG